GTAGGGAAGAGGCAATTTTACACTGTAGTGTCATTCTCAGGTGGAAATTAAATAAAAAGTTCAAGAAAAGTAGTCTCATACAGTGCAAGCAGCTCTCTATACCGCCAAGCACAACAGATCTTCCTTCCTATCTATAGCTTCCTGTACTACAAAAATCAGCAACTCAAATCTAATCATTTCTTGTTCAACCAAATAATTTCAGCTAGTGAAGCAAACCAGCTTTTAAATTAATTCATACATATATTAAATAAAAAACAGAAAAGACTGGGTTTGTTCTCTTACATTTGTTCCTCATTCAAAGGAAAGCTTTAAAAGTTGAATAATGTTCTTTCTGCAATCAGTGTTACAAGAGACTAAGAAATAATCAACCTCTCACTGCTGAGACAGTATGTTCTTAAAACTGGCTGCCTTATAAGGACACAGTATATGAAACCTGATCCTAGAGCTCTTGAAACTGAGAGTGGATGTTTTGCCAGGCGCAAAGAAACAACTTACAAAGCAAGTTTTTCTGTCTTTTTAACCAGAACTACACCTGCTGAATGTGGAAGACTGAGTTTTGCTAAGAGCCACATGTTTTCTTATTCAGATTGAAGGGTACAAGGGTTGCTCTAAGATTAATTACCTGAACTGACTCAAGTATCACTCAAAAAATTCTCAATGCGATTACCATCATGGCGAACTCAGGAAAAAGGGTGCAAAAAATTTTGACAGTCTCCTACAGTTATTTGGCGTACGTTAGTGTTCTGAAATGGCTGTATTTTTTTTTTTTAATTAAAAGTGCTTATCCTTGCTCGAAATTTAAGTCAAATACTCTTGTTCACAAAAGCTTACACAGTCACCACTGACCAAATAAAAGCAAGCAGCCCTTTCCATTCTTGTTCACCACAGGCTTCTGTGTGGGGTTCAATAATTCACGTACTATACTATCAGTGAAAGATTCATATAGGAGCACTATAGCTATAAACTAGAAATCTGTATGGAAAAACAGGTGGAATCAGAAAGCAAGCAGAACTGGCTTTTGTTTTACAGTTTACATTCTGCTCAGACTAGTTTTGCCATAAAATGCATTCCACATAACATTGCCTTTTCATTCTTTGTCCGTGTTTTAAGCTGTAAACATTCTGATCCACCAACCTAGATCATTAGTAGACTCTAAACCGCCAAACTAATGCCACTTTGCCAGTATCTTTAGATATATGGAACCCTCCTTGTATAAAATAAGATCAAGGAATAATTCAGGTTGTAAGGGACCTCAGGAGATCTCTAGTCCAATCTGCTCAAAGTATGGTCAGCTATGAGATCGGACCAGGTTGCTGAGACCTTTATCCAGTTGGGACTTGGACACCTCTCAGGCTGAAGACTGCTTAACTTCTGGTCAGCCTGTTCCAAAACAGGAACAGAGAAGACTTTAAAGTTGACACTAGTTTTGAAGACAAAGAAAAAAACA